GAATCGGTATACCATCTGCGATGGCATCAAGGGCTTCATGTATCTCAACTTTAGCATACGGCTTCATAATAGTCTAATTGTTGGAAGGTATTAGGTGAGGCCTCAGTACAGAATAACAGAAGTAAAAAGGACTGCGTTTTCTTCGCTATTCACTGGTCCGTACGGACCAGTGGGTTGCTTATAAGTAGCTGAAGGGGCTGCTGACAAATACGTACGAACCCAAGTCCAAATGCTATTCGGACAATAGTAAATAATGTCTGCCTAAATCTTGTCATGCATGATTCCAGACCATGCTTCTACCTATAAACACAGCACCCGGTAAGGCGAAAACAGCAATTATGATAGAATGGAATTCATGTTGGTATAGGAAGCCTACTCCAATGCAAGTGACCCAAGCAACAAGGATATAATGCCCAAGGGGTGGTGAGACCATGTGCTTAATGAATCGTGACGGAGAAACAGGGCTCAAAAAGGTTGCACTAATACCTATGCTCAAAGGTTCTTGAATGGTCAAGGAACAAATGGTGAGTTTTGTGTTAGTAGGAACCCATGTTTGAGGGCAGAAATAAGGCAGCATGACCTACAGTACATAGCGGGAGCCATACAAGTCTTTTGCTGCCTTCCACAGAAAGAAGGCGGCTGCAGGCATAGGCGTGCAACTAATGCAAGACGAGCCCGTGCAGGCGAGGTTCCATTTTGGGGTCCTCGACACCCACACCATGGAGGCCTGCTCAGCCACTCGATACGGGATCAATACGACACGCCCACCAATATTTGACGAGCGAGACCTCCTGCATGTATCCAATGCTATTACTATTAGCCACATGGACCTTTTCAGCTGTTACTCTATCTACAGAAATGAGGTGTACAATGCTAGTAATTGAACTAAATTGATAAATTTTCTTATAACAAATATGTATGCGCTGTTGCCTGGAATTAACATAATAGTAGGTATAGAAGCAGTACTAGGGCGGGAGTGGGGTTGTTGTTTCGCTACTTTTCCTCAAACTTGACATTGCTTACTTGTACTTGAAGCATTCATCACAAAAACTGTAAGAGATCTTATACATGTGAGAAGTACGAGCGGAATTAGATAATAGATTATAAGAACAAACTCTAAAACAGAAAGCCCAAATTGGGTAAGTCAATAGCGATATCGCTTACCTGTCTTGTCACCTAAGTCGTCAAATATCCTGTCTACGACGCTTTCCTCCACAATTTTGTAAATTGTCTGTGAGGTCCTCTCCTTATTCTGTATGCTGAAGCTCTGACATGCCTTGGTTTCGAGGAATTCTGAAACAAGTTGCTTCCCATTCTCCCTCCAAACCTTCTGAAACGCGCATATGGCTACGTCTCACGCGCCAGTGTAGAAAGCAGAGGAAGGTCGCGCGATGCGCGGAAATATGGTGTCCCAAATTGCAAACCACCGCGAGTCCTCCGATATATGCGATTTGTTCTCTCTTTCGAGCTGCTTTTCCTGATGATCTGTAGATTCCATTGTGCGCCGGGGGGGGGGAGGGCGTTTGAGACCCAAGCTCAGAACGAACAGCACCTGCGGATATATGGTGCTTTTCCGTCGAGCACCAATGGGGAGCATATTCTACCTCAGACACTCCCTCTCATCCTCTCAACCGTTTTTGACAACTGCGGAGCGTTCCATTTAGTCAACAACAGCGCTTTTGTTGAGCTAACATCGCCTCTGACAAGCCACATTTTAGGAACGACGCATTTGTAGATGGCCGTAACTGCGAACTGAAAAATACAGCATATCTTTGTAAAGTATCTCGATACTTGAGACTCGCCGGGTCGCGAGCCTGACGGGGTGGCAGGCCGAGATTCTGGCTAGCCTGACTAGCCTTAATTATCTAATCAGTTGCTCCGCGGCATAACATAGCTGGAGGATTATATTTCAACCCGAAGAATTGCCAAACCCCATTATGATACCTTGAGACGTTCTTGTCCGAGGAGTGCGAATAGCAGTATGATCACCCGAAGTAGTGCAAGTAAGCAAGTTGCTGTCGAAGATAGTCGAATAATCTATCCTTGTAGATAACTTACTCACACCTGTATATTCCATTTTGTATGCACAATAATGTTTTGTTGGCTTGGATCGCCATGTTCAACAGCGTACGGCGCAGATTCGAGAGCCGGAATAAGTACTATAAAAGAGTCTTAATATTTATAAAATATTTTTTAAAGCTAAGACGATTTAAGAAGCCCTTCCCGGTATGAGTCTCTGCTGGCGGAGGGCCTGCTCGCGCCGCATCTCCTCGAGCTTAGCTCCACCCATGTGGCGCACTGGGGCGAAAAGTGGTGATGGGGTGCTCATCATTGTCCAGCTCCAGAAGCCTGCACTACCTCCTGCACTATCCAGTCACTTTACTTAGTGTTCCTTTTGGTGTTCTGGGATCTGCAAACGTCTGCCACCTCCGATCCGATCGCGGCAATGCCGATGCCCGCGATGGTTCCAACCAATATTGTAAATATCGTCTCTTGGAGGTCCTTTCTTGTGTCCTTGTGCTCAGCCCTCTGTTCATGACCCCGGTGGGGGTGAGTTGACGGTGTATGGCGACAATGGTGCTGTCTCTCTCGACGCTGGACCCTACGACATTGTTTGGACCTCCCCTCAGTTGTTTGATAGCCTTGCTCAAGGCCAAGTTCCATGCCCATGTCTCGAATGTCGCTATCACGACCTCTTCCGCCTTCTTTCCTAATCTCTCTATGCTCCATAGTATTTCTTTCTGCCCTTTTATCATGAGAATGCGTTTCTTTAAGGTTTTGCTCATCAAAACGGACATGTCTTGGCTCCTTTTTCAAGATACCCTTCGGCTGAACTAAACTGGGACCCTGGTAGTGCATGGTGCGATATGTGTCGTCCAATAGTCTGGCTAGGTGGAGGAAATATATATAAATCTATCTTTGATTTTTCTTTGTGTTTTCAATTGGGTCGTTTCTTCTCGTCTACGGGTGTATTAATCCCGAGCAATGTCTGTCTATGGGCGCGGTGCAACCAAGAAATAGAGAAGGAGAATGGGGCTTTTATATGCGCTAGGTCATGAAGGGACAGTGACGGGAACTGACAGAGCATAGGATTCAAGATCAAATAGCGTACAAGTTCACCTAATGCACTACGTTGAGCCGCAGGGCGTTCTACAGCTCCGCCACGCGGCTTATACCAGGTAATGATCACGAGACGCATCCCATGTTTGCCCGACGCAGATGCTTTGTGTCTGGAATTTGGGATGCATTGTTATGAAGTAGACAAAGGTCATTTTTGGAAGCGTTTGGTCAACGGCAAAGTGTTCGAACCTTAACAAGCAGCTATGTACGTCAACGCGCCGCTTCACGCCGTCTTGTTCCCTCTGCGAAGAGGACAAGTTTGAGTTGCCTTACACAGTCATAGCTTTGACTTGATAACTTGGCATCGCTTTGAAATTGATCGGTAGGCGTCATATTGCTCACTACAGAGAAAGTGGGAAGGGCGGAATGTAGCAGATTCTGGTCAATTGCTGCACGAATAAGGCTGCCACGTCCGCAGCTTCATATCTCGACTTAAAAATCAGGATTTTCAAATAAGGAACACAATACGCAGCATTAATCGTGCCTTCCATCTTCTCCGCAGTACAATCATAGAACGGACGGAGAAGCTTGGCGAGGGATTTTGTAAATGCACTCATTCCCCATTTCAGATACTCCAAAGCTTCTTCAACTTTACTAATCTCGCCTCTCAGCTGGTCTATCTTGCCGCATGCTAACGACATGAGCAAGCCCTATTCTGAGGGAATGAGCGCTGGACCACGTTCAATAGCTTCAGCAACTTCCATCCAGCACAAGATCTGCAAAGCGGTGATGTCCCTGGTATTGCTCTGTTCCAATGATCTCAAACCGAAAGTTCCGACATAAATCTAAAGGCAATTCCTTCCCCCGAGTCGTCGAGCTCTCGCTGGCGATGAACATCGCCGCAACCTTAAGGGAGACATTATTTTGCCGGAACGATGATGACCTTCCGGAACTAGAGCGAGAGGAAAGATTGCCGCTGTCTGAGCTAGACGAGCTGTTGCTGGATCACGAAGTCGAGCTGCTGCCTGATGGTTATTGTAAGGAAGGTGATCCCCGAGCTACCGCTTCCCCATCCACCTCCGCCGCCGCCGCCGCCCTTACGCTTCCAAAGGTCGCTATAGGGCGAGTTGTCAAAATCACGTTGTTGATGTTGTGACGCGGGGACAAGCGATGTTAACAACGAAACTGGATGTACAACGCCTATCCGGTGTAGAAAGCCTTATCCGCTCGAAACAGACTTCTTTGGAGATAGCTCGTAGTTTCCTCAATGCAGCAGGGCTGTGGGATATTCGAGACGTGGTGTTTAAAGCTGGATGGAACGACACTGAAGAAGACAAGAGAAGCAGCATCGATGGCAAAGTTCATATGGTCTAACATTGGATTGCGCCGCAAGATGAGCATCTGTAGAGATAGACGGGGCGTAGCTGGCCCAACGTTATCTTGCGATCCGATGAACAGTCACCAGAGTTTGCCCACTCCGTCAAGTCTAAGCTCACGCGCCGGTACAGTTGTAAGAGGGTAGTGACGAGCAGAGTTAACAAGTGCACGGAGCGATAGCGCAGCGTGATCGATCTTTCTAAATCGACATAGTAGTAGCCTAGATCCAGTAGCCAGTTATCGCCAAACTTATGGGTACTGACCTCTCTACAACCGCGTTCCTTTTAACCCATCTCAAACAACTATCAAAGGCACTATATGGCCTTCTACAGATAGCGGTATGGCCAGGCGCTTCCCCAATCAAATCGACGAGACTATATGGGATGAGTGGGAAACTACGAATATGATCCCTATCACCTCTGCCGAGATCAGAGGAGTGGGGAAACCCTGCTACAGCAGCCAAACTCGAGGACTCAATCTAGAGTTTTACGATGCATATGCAGGTATCTTAGATTAGTTTCAACATAGTCGGTTAGTGGGATGAACCTGATGCAAAAAGAGATTGCGACGGCCGGGGTTTGAACCCGAGTCTCCTCCTGGCCCTTTGCAGCTAGAACCGGGGTTATCTCAAGTGGGAGGGAGGCGAGTTAACCACTACTCTACCGTCGCCAATATGGGATTACAGGGGCTTCCGAGGTCTGATATGGTTTGGTTTGAAGTTGGTCGGTGGGAGGCTATGGTAGCTGCCTATCCTTGGGGAGGCTGCTGTCTGTTGTCACACTTGTTTTTCGTAATTGCTGCCTTCGCCAATGACAACCCGTACGCTTACCAGGTGGTCACGCAAGCATGTGATGATCCATACGGTCCTGTAAAGGGGACCAGAATAGCTGTAGCCTGCTGCATTCCATTCCAATCCAGCAAAATAAGCCATCGTTACCATTCTCCTCATCATCATCGTCCTAGCCCTCATCATTCTCGTCATCATCACCTTCCTCATCTCCTTTGCTCTCGTCCTCGTCATCCCCATACCGGTTTCGTGCTTCTGGAGATCTACAATCCAAGGCTATACAGTGATTAACATTGCCTAGAATTTGCACCCAAATCAAAAATGGCACGACGATTTCAAAGATCGCCCAGAAGGGATACCCAAACGCCAGCTCCTTCCGCCCCAGGCGGTGGTTTCCCGCCTGCCCCTATCGCTGTATGTACTGTGATTACAAACGCCCCTCCGTCTCCACCTCCATCTCCAAACCACCACCTTTCCTCAGCCCCTTTGACTTCGAATTCTTCAAAGCCCTCAAATCCTAGTTTGTCATCGTGTCTGTCTTTCTTGCCTCGATTCAGTGACACCTCGTCTGCCGTCCCGCTTCCTAAACTTAACCGTCTCAAAGTCGTCGAGTCTTATGTTCTCGCCGGCCTCGAGCCGACGTATCTAGCACCACACACTTGTCCTAGGCACCAAGGCATTGAAGCCTTGTTCGGCCGAGCATTTGGCTAGAGAAGCTTGACACCCCCTAGATCCCATTCATCTTTACCCTAGCCTTTGCAAACTTACAACATGGCCTCGAAAGCTGCAAACGAGGTAATATCACGTTTATAATGAGCCGCCAGGGCTTTGCTCCCAGTAACTAGTGTATCTCTTCCCATTATGTCCAAGATCACAGAGCAGAGTCTCCAGCTACAGCAAGCACGTCTCGGGCGACAAGACGATATTATCCCTAACACCGTCTTGGGGGTCACACTGCCGCAAAGCCTCTTCAGCAATGACGGGGCACATCTCAGGCGGGATATGATATACATCCTCGACAGGCCCTGGCGCCAACCTATAGAGCATCTGCTGTAATTCTTTTCCAAGATTTTAGCGCGGGTTCCGCAATAATATCGGTACTCCCCATAGGGAGTAGTTGTTAAGAGCCGACGTCCTAAATCTTTTCATCAATCGGCCCACTTCGGGATATCACTGGATTCCGTTAATCATCCGAACCAACGAAGACCTTAATAAACGTTTTCACATGATGGTGTTACCACTATTGTAGTTACCTCACTCTGCAGCTATAACGGAGGAAGGCGGTGTGTTGGTTAGCACGTCCGTCTCCATCAGAGTTGTACTCTTTGTCCATCGTCCGAGCTCTCCACACAGAAACGGTCGCCGGAGCCGGTCCTTCTTCGTTTGGCCTCAATGAATTTCCCTTATTGAACGCTTTGTATATCTATCGGCCAACAGATGTTTAGTGTTACATGTTACAGCATGCCATTTAATATGGATCGCCAACCACTTCGGAACGACAAAGGTATCGTCGCCAGACTTTACGTGCATAAACGTGGGGGAGATATTTCTTTTCCCGACATATCACGTCTTCCCTCTGCTGACCTCCACGCCACTCTTTGTCGCGTCCGCCCTGCCATCGTAAGGGGAAGGCTCCGCAGGTACCACAAGGCGTATTTTCCCGCGTGACCATATTTTCGCCGCTAAGGTGGTCAGACGTCTTACCGATTCTGACATCCAATTATAGAGCTCATCTAGCATGGCTTGCTTGCGAGGACATTTGCTCCAGTAGGGGCGGAAGTGATGAAATCTACAAAGCCAATCCAAGATGGAATCCGGAAGCTGATGGCTCAGCTGGGGCCACGAATCTGGTCTCGCCCCCAGCATCACAACCATGTGACAAGGGTGGAATCTGGGCTCCTGATTGATGTTAACAAGGTACAGACGTCGCTGTAAAAAGTCTTTTTCAAAGAGACAGGGGGGGCTGCATCTGTTGCCTTGGAAACTACTAAGCGCTGCCCCTCAATTTGTAATTTCTGTTAGTCAGGAACCTTTCTCTGATAAGTCTCTTTCGCCAACAGTCTCGGCAAAAGGCTACTTAGCCAAAATAGATGATATCAGCTAGTATTTAGTACTTGTTAGTACAAACTACTTAAGGGGGGCTTGACGTAAGAAGTAAGTGCAGCCTGGATGAGTGCAGCCGAAAATGACTTATTACAGGCACCTCCGTATACATGCAAGGCACCAACGGGAAAATCGCCCTTCCTTTTGCCTGGCGACACACTGAAGAATAAAGACCAGTCTTTCCCCACCCTGTCTCCACCTCAGCATCCCTCAAAATTGACCTCATTTCAGAGCCTGCACACTCAATCATCATTTCATACATTGGCTACACTCAATTAGTGGTGGCAGATTCGCCAACAGCATGTCACGAACAACTACATACTCATCCACAGCCACTTCTTCACATCAACACATTCTTGTCCTCGACCTGAAAGCTAGGTCATCTGCGGTTACTACAAAGAGGATTTCCGACGTACCTGAAGGGTCAGGTCAGGGTATATATTAGCCATTTCCATATCTCGCTACCACCATATAGGCTAGTCTGCTAATCTTCTTCTGGTTTTTCTAGTACGCTGGTCCTTCGCCATTCCTGAAGTTCCTTCTGGAGGAAAAGATTGCTGGGATCTATTCGTGATAAGAAATGGCAACACCAGCTCCATCAAGGCTGTCAGTCCATCGGTGCCCTCTGGGGAGGACCAGTTCATAGGTAGACTGGACTTACACCAATTGGGCTACTGTGACCGGAAAAAGCGGAAAGCCGGGAGACTTGGACAAGCCTGCATACTGAAATGACGAACACCTGCACATATTCAAGATTATCGAAAGCGTTCCCTCGAGCAATACTATTGTTATTGTTGAATGGCCTTTGCCATATGGCGATAGTACGTACGTACGTAGGGGTCTGGTTCTTCGGTTGGTAATTGCATGTATTCGCTAACTATGGAGGAAGCGGGGGCGTTTCGTACGAGGAAGAGGACATTCCTCCTCGGCTATGCCCCTGGCTTAGTCAGCCTGCCCAACCAATGGGACTACGTGCGATCCAACAGAGTGCTATTCCAACAGCTACTAAAAGAAGCCGTTATGCCCCACATAAATCCGTTTAATTTCTTTCCCAAACTAACTCGCGCCTAGCCTGTTATTCACCTCACCAAACTATAAAACATGGACGACATTACATTCTCATTCTCAGCACAGCCCAATGGATTTGACATTCCGTTAGATGATGCGCCAAACAGACTGGCACACTGTTCTCAAACGCTGACCGGGGGTCGCTTTCCTTGTGAATATTGGGACAAGTTTGCAGGCTTGGACGTCCAAGGTATGCTAACATAGGGTTACCATCTTCTTCTTAATCACACATTCGAGGAAATTCACGACACTAATGAATTTGCACTATCTAGCACTTCAGGACCCGGATGATTATTCGGACACAAAGAATTGGATCTTCGAAAGATCGACTTATGGGGTGGGGAATCGTCGCTGGTGCCCCCAGTCTGCAGATCTGCAGATTAGGTATAATGGGGACATTTTGCAGCAGGATGTGCAAGAAACGGCAACCCTACCGCCAAGGCTTTCAACAATCCAGACCTATGGTTGCTTGAAAATACAGGACGACCTGGATAAAAGGGAGAAAGAAGAGAAGACAGATGGGGAGAAGAGAAGAGAGACAGAGAAAGTCGCCACAGACGCCAATTTGTTTTGCGAGTTATCCTTGGACAGCACCAGTCGAGAGAGCGCACTTCTCAAAAGTCTTGCGGCAGGAGATCATAGCTTGACCTTGACCGGCTTCGACATAAGCCAGCACATATCGGGACTCAACGTTTGTTACAGTGCTGAACAAAACGCAATCATCTTCAGCTTCCAATTGTGCGCAGTACGCATACACACCGAGGCAATCCTACACTGCGACTACTTCGGCGAAGGAGCCGTTACTGTTGTTTCCGAGATCAATCTGAATAGTCACCCTCAATATGCAGCCTATCTTGCCTCCCTCGCCACCATCAGCACAGTCCGCCTAGGCAACCACGTCTCGGAGCTCCGGGTACTCTTCCAATCTGGCGTTATGGCAGATGAGCTGGGGCATCAGGAAAAGCTTTTGGTGTCTTTTGATCTAGACCCGGCCGTCGTCGTGCCGGATTCTGATTTGCTTCACGAAGACGTGGAAGACTGGGCCACACAGATGCAGCAAGCAGGCAGGTTTCAGTTTGAATGCGAGGGCGTCCTCAGATCCGCTTCTCAGCCTAAGCCCGTGCTGCCCCCGGAGGGCGCGAGTGCACAAGTGCCGCTTTACATCAAGCAGCGCGTACCATATGAGCCGGCTGGGTGGGATAGAGGCAGCAGGAGCGAGACCTACACGAGCCACGAGTCAAATAACCACCCCTACGTGCGCCCGATGGCTGCCACTACGGAGGCAAACTACCGGCTCGATTGTCTTATTTCGCGATTGGGGATAAATCGAGACACTAGAAACGGTTTCTGGGATGTAGTCATGTAGAACATCATTTAGAACGACTGTCATTTTGAAAGCAATACTTCATCCGGCTACAGAAGATGCAAGAATATACTTAAAGCTGGTTTGTAGTAAGGTTCCGCACCGCGGGCAATGCCTGTCGACTTGCTCGGGGTTAGACATATAGCACTGTGCTTTTGTTTTCTCCACTCCAAAGCCAAGTATCAAAAAGGGTTTGGAATTAAAGGCTGCCGAGACTATGTTAAAGGTATCATTGCGATAAGCCAGCTGATGCAACACTCTAGCCCAACTAATGTTAGTACATAGCTGCAAATGCTTAATTGACGACTATATCTTCGTCTCAAACGAGAACAGCATCAACCACTAGAG